TGGGATGCAGAACTACCCAAAGCAACAAAGGAATCGATTACGTATTTACTTAACGACCTCAATAATTTATACAAGGTACGCATACCCAGATACGTGCTACGTCCAAATTCAAACAACATTGAATTACATGGGTTTTGCGATGCGTCTATTAGAGCATATGGTTGCTGCATATACGTTCGCGTAGTCGATCAATATGAAAATATTTTCGTTAATCTGTTGACAGATAAAAACCGAGTAGCTCCAACAAAAAAGAGGACTATACCTCAATTGGAATTGTGTAGCGCACACTTACTAGCTAAGCTTTTTGAGAAAATTATGTCAGAGTTTGCAAATTATAACGTCAAATCATTTCTTTGGACAGATTCGTCTGTAGTTTTACATTGGTTAAAGATGCATTCATCAACTCTTACCACATTCGTCGGAAATCGAATTTCGGAAATTCAACAAGTGACCAGAAATTGCATATGGAGACATGTACCTACATCGTGCAATCCTGCAGACATTATATCACGTGGATGCTCTGTAGACAATCTTGCAATCTCAATTTGGTTCTCAGGTCCAGAATTCTTGCACAAGGATGAATCACACTGGCCTGCAAAGCAATTGTTTGAACGCAACAATGCTGAAGTAAATGACGCTATTCGGAAGACTGCATTACATTGCAATCAAATAGATAATGCTGTACTGTTATTCACTGAACGAACGAGTTGTTATAATAAAGTCTTAAATGTCGTTAAATATGGCGAAAGTAGTTCAACCATCACAGCCGCTGAACGAATGCGTGCCCTTTATTGCATCATTTACAATATACAACAACAACATTTCGCGATCGAATTCAAAGCTATTGAGAAAAACTTCGACATCAAATCTTCTTTGAAAGCTCTTGGTTTATTCATACAAACTGTCGGTTCGTTTCGGTTAATTCGCGTTGGTGGACGCTTAAAACGTGCAGATATACCGGAAGACCGCAAGCATCCCTTTCTATTGCCAAAGGATTGCCAATTCGTCAATACTCTAGTTCGTCATCTTCATATGCAAAATTTTCACGCAGGCCCGAAGGCATTGCTTGCCATTATGCGGCAAAATTTCTGGATTATCGGCGCACGTCACATTACACGTAAAATCGTCAAAACATGCATAAGTTGCATTCGATATCGCCCCAAATTCTATCTCAAGTAATGGGAAATCTTCCAAGAGAGCGAATAACCCCAGCTAGACCATTCGAACGGTGTGGGGTGGATTTCTGTGGACCAATCAATACGCACTTTAGAATTCGCGGCAAACGTCCTTATAAAACATATATCGCTATCTTCATATGCTTTGTGACCAAAGCGGTGCATATCGAAACAGTATCTGATTTGTCCGCTGACGCATTCATCGCAGCACTAAAACGATTAATTGGTCGCCGTGGTATTCCATCAAATATTTTCTGCGACAATGCGACAAACTTTGTTGGAGCGAACTCCAGGTTAAACGAGTTCAAACAATTGATCACAAGCGCAGCATTTAAAAATACCACAGAAAAATTTTGTGCAAATCACTTCATAAAATTTAACTTTATTCCACCTAGGTCTCCGCATTTTGGTGGTCTTTGGGAGGCAGCAGTTAAAAGCGCCAAGGGACATTTATTTCGTTCACTGGCAAATGCCAAGATGACTATTGAAGAATTGATGACAGCATTAATTGAAATCGAAGCTGTTATGAACTCACGTCCTATTTCGCCTCTCTCTAACGATCCAAACGACCTAGAAGCGCTGACACCAGGTCATTTCTTGATAGGAACACCAATTAACTCATTGCCGGAGCCAATCGTTGACAATCATGATCTCACTCATTTAGAGCGTTGGAAACGTATCGCAGCTGTCAAACAGCAATTTTGGTGCAAATGGTCCAATGAATATCTAGGCGAACTTATTCAACGTCATCGCTGGACAAGCATCAAATGTAATATTAAACTGGATGACTTAGTCTGGATGACTAGTTCACGAGGATAACTTGCCACCACATAAGTGGGTGACCGGTAGAGTAGTAGCAACTCACGTTGGATCGGACAAGCGTATCAGAGTCGTGGATATTAAAACTCCGGGTGGAGTTCTACGTCGATCCATACATAAGTTGGCGTTGCTCCTTGATTCATGAAAGGCGATCCTTTCAAGGCCCCCGGAATGTTCAGAATACACCATAAACCAAATATGTATTTTATTTTAGGTAAATTATGTATCACATGGCAACCCTGCCAAGCACGAGCCTTCGTGCATTGTAATTAAAATAAAGCAGTACTTCTTGGATCGCCAAACGAAGTAGTCACACTTTAAATTTCGTTGTTTTTTTTATTCTGTAGTCATTGAAAATCGCCCGTGCGCGTATTAATAAATTATTAGACTCAAATCGTACACTTGGTCTTCTAGGGATATCGTTGGCTGGGATAGGTTTTAGCCTTAAACCTTCGCATGCATCACTTACCTTAGCAATGCAGTTGCCAAGAAATACTTTGGATAGCTGGTCATCACATTTGAAGACCCTGCAACCACGAACCACTTCTAAAGAATCAAAGCCTGGTGTGGGGGCGTCTAGAATTGTTAAAAAGTGTTCCATCACCATTTCAGCCAGTTTGGGCTCAATCTCACCCCATTTCTTCAGCACCTTTTTTCCATTGCCGGTAATATCATCAATGAGCGCCACCTGTAGCTCATCCCTTGCAACTTCGTTATATGCCCTTATCGCACTTGTTGACGGTTTACTAGTACAAATTGTTCTCGCTACCTTGCTTTTTGAAGTATGGGCCGTCTCGTCCTGAGACCGATCCCTCTTCATTGCCTTTGGGGGTTTTGATAGGGTGGCCTGGTATTCCTTGTACTCATCGACCACCTTCTGGTATCGTACTTTGTCTGTACGGTCAAACGCCTGTTCTTTACCTTCAGCTTCATTTTTAGCAATCTTGCCAAGAATGAACATAGCCTTCTGGTACCTTTGACGTCAGATCTTTGCCTCAGACTTTTTTGATTTTTCAGCAGGCGCACTATGGCTGGCGCGCTTGTCTGCCGATTTTTCTGTTATATGCAAAATAGGCGCAGTGCGGCTGCTACTGCCTACATTGGTCAGTATGGCGGTTTCGACTCGCTCGTTTTCTTGACTTGATGCCAGGAGCTCGTCTTCGGAACTGGTACCTAGTTCCTTGTTAGTTTTTTGTTTATTAATGTTTTTAAAAGAGTGCATAAATGTTCCCACGTGTGTAGGGGAAATGGAGGTCGTCCGAAGCATAGCCCCGTTTACTTCGGAAAGGTTGAATTGAAACCGGAGGTCGCCAGGTATCCGGAGTCCACCGTTCTAAGACACACTTACGCAGTGCCATTCATCCTTGGGCACGGTCGTTCATAAACCCAGGATTGCGGGTTTTATTGAGCTTTCCTCTCTAGATCCGCCATAATATGTGGCTCTGCACCACGTATGGACGGTCTTGGTTCATCATAAACCCTGGTCCCCAGACACCTAGTGGAACTACACACTTCCATTCACTGTAAAAAAAAACTCAAAAACACACATGCATACATAAAGAGACAAAGACACATATATGCACATAAACTACAGGACAACACAACTACTGGTAGTTCTTTGTTGTACCCACAAGCCAGACCGACAACAGGTCTGCTGACCATTGCATAGACAGTGAGCAGGAGACCCATAGTCAGCAAGCTTGCCTGTAGCTAAGCCCCTACGCCACGTCAAGGTGCCTACCACGTAGGGGAGACTCAGCAACGTAGGGGCTCTTCTCTCTGATATTCATTTATTAGAAATTGGCGTTCCACTTGCAACAGCTAAACTGGCAATTAAACAAAAATATCTAAGAATTGCTCAGCCACAATGTGCAAGTGAGCCCAGTTGTCACATTTCTAGGTCGATTTGGTCTAACTTGTATAAAAAGCGTACGGGTCAGCTGCTCCAACTAAAGAGAGATCTGCTCAGTACTACGGTATCAGTGCTGACGGGTCATTGCTTAATAGGGAGGCATGCTATGAGACTGGGTCTTCCTTATAATGACCTTTGTCTCGGTTGTGGCTCTGAGGACGAGGAGGAGACTGTGTTCCATCTCATGTGTCAGTGTCCATCTTTAGCCAGAAGAAGATCAAAAATCTTGGGGGCCCCTTTTCTGACCGATCTGACTAAGATGTCATCCTACAATGTGAGGGCCCTAGCTAGATTCATAGAACTGTCCAGTTGGTTCTCCTTTACCTAATGGGGGATTCGTTGCCTCTCTGTTGGGCTTTGGTCGTATACTGATCCCCTTGTCTATATACGAACATCGCTTTTTCCTTGTGGTACCACAACGGGCCATTATTTGTGCTCAAGTGGGCTTTCTTGGTAAACAAAGCCGTCACTCCAACCTACCTACCTACCTGTCATACAGCGTTCCGGTAAAGTTTTCAGAGAAGCAAAGTGCGTCAATGCCTCATAATCACTAGGGTCTGAAGATAACGGCGTAATTGGTCGAGAATTCAGAATTGTTGCAACTTCGATGAGAGCGGTATCAAGCTCTTTAAATGTGAGACACGCGTTTATCATTGTCCGAACTACATGACCCTTCGCGGACTTCACTGCTTCTACCCAAAGACCTGTTGGGATTTTTTATGGAGAAGCACTGAACGAGACCAATAATGTTATGGTCTTTATAATAATGTCTGAATAGCATGGGAATGGGCGTTTGTTCCCTGTTCCCAAGTTTGCTATTCTGAATAATTTGAGAATGGGAGTTTTGTTCCCTGTTCCCAATTTTGCTATTCTGAATCGCATGGGAATGGGAGTATAGAAATAGAAATGGGAGTACAATAGAAAAATGAAAGGAAACCAAATTCTGAAATGAATTCCTAGAATAAGTTAAAATAAACTTTTGCAATTATGTGCAGATAAAACATTGCTTCTTTTTTATTGTAACATCTGCACAATCACAAACTATTATTAGTTCATTAATTGAAGCATGAAGGACATTTTTATCCTAATTAAAAAAATTAAATCATAATTTACGCAAATTTTGTATAAAAGCAGTGAATGTTTGAAAATAAAGACATTGAAGAATTGATATCATAACGTAAGGTTGTTTTTTAATTAGTTAAAAAAGAGTTAAAAATTTAGAAAAGAGTTAAATTTAACATGTAAGTTTCTGCGGTTGATCCTCTGTTGCAAAATTTCTTGCTCCTGTTCTTGAACCAAATTCACCGCTAAAATTCGAAATGCAATTGAATGCATTTTTGAAAACTTTTTTAAAATTTTTTATTTAAATAATCATTAACAACTGCACAATTCTTGTTTATTTTGCTCATGCACAATTCTTTTTATATATTTATTTTACTCATTAAAATAAAAGTTTTTTATTATTTAATTTTTTATTATTTATTATTTACTTATAAAATAACTTATATTTATTTCCGATAATTTGTGCAGCAAACAAATAATGCGATTTTTACATTTAAATCAACATATGATACGCAATTCTTTTCTTTGTTTTGCTCATTTTCGCACTTTTCGTCATTAAAAAGTAGCATGGTTGCCAAAATTTAACAAAACAAATTTGAAACTGTTGTTGTTCCCAAAACTGCTGTCTCCCAAGCAATTCAGAATAAGGGAGTTGTGTGTTTGGGAACAGCGTGAAAATAGGGAGTTATGTTCCCTTGGAGTATTCAGAATAGGCCTGGTTATATTTAATGTTAAAGGTTTTTTATTTGAACTGAAGGCTGCGCCAAGAATATGTTGTGTTTCAGATGTGAAATAATATAAAAAAAACACTGGTAATTCGTTTTAAATACGACAAAAGTTTATTTCTTTTTTTTGTTCCTTAGCAATATAATTATTATTTTTGTTTGTTATTGGAAAGAACAATTTTTAGTTGCTACTCTAACATTTCACAGTTCTATATATGATTTGCTGTTGTTTAAAATGTCATTATATTGTTCTTATACACTACTGAAATATTTTCAATATGAACTTATGTTATTATTTTTTCACTTTATATAATTCATAATACGAGTATATACTATTTGATCAAAAAAGAACGAGAAGTTAAAAAAACACGCAAAATTTTAATTTTTATAATTTCCCTTATTATCGCCTTCAAAGTACTCTTCTCCTGCGGAAATATATCTTTGCCAATGCTTGATTCAATTTTCCATACAAGTTTGATAGGCCGCCGAAGGTATGGCCTTTAGTTCGCGCAGCGAATTCTCTTTTATGGCTTCTATGGTCTCAAAACGCGTTTCTCGCAATGGCAATTTGAGTCGGGGGAAGAGGAAAATGTCACACGGGACCATATCTGGAGAGTACGGTGCTTGGTTGATGATATTGGTGAAGTTTTTAGGCCAAAAACTGCGACACAACCAACGTTGTGTGATCCGGTGCGTTATCGTGGTGCAAAATTCATGAGTTTTCCTTCCATAAATCTGCCCTCTTTTTGCGAATGGCCTCACGCAAACGACGCATAACGGCAAAATAATACTCCTTATTGACCATTTACCGTCCGAAAGGAATTCATAGTGCACCACACCACGAATATCGAAGAAAACAGTCAGCATAACCTTGATTTTGGACCGACTTTGGTGTTCTCTTTTCGGTTTCGGCTCACCTTCGAAGCACCATTCGGTCGATTGTTGTTTGGTGGGCATGTCAAATTCATAGACCCATGTCTTATCACCAGTTATGATGCATTGGATGAATGTGTGGACACTATCTGCGTTGGAAATCATCTCTGTGGCCACATCAAAACGATGCTTTTTTTGAATGAAATTCGGCTAAAAATCGCCACACGAAAATTTTTCGACTTCTTTGTATAGACGCCAAACAAAAACTAATCGTACGATATGCATTAAATTTTGACAGAATGTGTATAATAGTGTTGCCAGCATGAGAAGAAAAAAATTTGCTGATAGGATAAGCGCAGGAATTCAAAAAAAAGAACGATTAAGTTCTTTTTTGATCGCAGGGTATTATTATTATAATCAGGTTTATGCAAATGTTCTTCCTTTCACATATTTTTTAATAATATCTATTTATATTATGTTATGTCTGCCTGTTGTTATTAGTGTGGTCCTTAGATGCCTAGCATGGCACGGTGGCAGGCCAGGTATGCTCGCCGGTTTCGGGGTGTGGTTCTTGGCATCCAGTCACCACCGCAGATATCAAACAAAAATAAATAAAAATCGTGCCATTAAATAATTGTATATATATATGTCTCCAAATCTATGTAAACCAATAGAGAACATTTTTACCCCTCCCAGTAACCCTACCAATGTTTAATATGTATTATCAGTTTATTAACATTTCACCTTACACATACCTCGTGGTATGTCCCTGTACTACCCATAGAGCCTATAATTTATCCAACCATGATTAGGCTATTTCTATATCTGTCACTTATGTTTAAGAGCAACAAAAAAAAGAATTTAAAATTTTTATAATTTTTACATATTTTTTCAAAAATATTAAACTTTACTGATATGTAAAACAAATTTTCATTTTTAATAAACTTTTCTCACTTGTTATTAGTATATTAATGTAAACAAAAAAAAATTCATAAGATATTTACAAAGGAATTTTAATACACAACCATATATATATATATAATAAAATCAAAATAGATAAATATAATAAAGATAAAAACAAAAAACTTCCTATGCATGAATTTGTTTCTTTTTTTTTTTTCTTTTTATATTTATATTTTCATTACTTTAGTGGTAGAACACTTACCAGCATCGTAGCAGTGACGTCACTCCATGCACTGATGTACCTAGCTACAAAAAAATTAGAGAAAGTAACAAAATTGTAAAACCTTCATTTATTAGAAATTGGCGTTCCACTTGCAACAGCTAAACTGGCAATTAAACAAAAATATCTAAGAATTGCTCAGCCACAATGTGCAAGTGAGCCCAGTTGTCACATTTCTAGGTCGATTTGGTCTAACTTGTATAAAA